GTACAGTGATTGGATGGCCCTTAGTAGCTGGCCATTTATCCCGTATGCACGAAAGCATGTTCACAGACTATTGCGTGGGATGCGGTCATTGGCTTTTCTTAGGTCAACAAAACACATGTACACTGGACGGGGGTACTCCCACGATTTCTCAAGAATCTGGCGCAGGGCAAATATATGGTCATATGTGCTTCAACAGGGACGGAAGCAGCACTGCTCTTCTTGTATCTTGAGGTCAGTTGTTCCGCGGCGCTTCCTTTCTAGACTCTCTATGCAGACTTAATCTGGGAGGCTCAATAACGTAATTCCCCTCTAATTGCAGTACCCCTTATGGTCTGCCTTTTTGAATAGGGATACAGTAACTCCCGTTCTGCAGTCCGCTGGTGTCATCCTCACAGTCATGGCAGTTTGACAGACATGTGTAAGTCAGCGCATGCCTTGTTCGCCTAATGTTTTGAGCAGTTCAGGGCGAATTTCTTCAATTCCGGCAACCTTTCCCTTTTTCAAGCTTTTCACAACTTGTGTAATTTCATCTACAGAGATAGTAATTTGAGTTCTCTGCTGCCCTTCAGACGAGTCTTCCTGCGGTTGTTCGTAGTTAATTAGTTCCTCAAAGTACTTTCTACATTGCCGAAGAGTGTCATCATCCTTAGTAAGAGGATACCCAGACCTGCCTTTCGTGTCCTTAAATGAACATTAAAAAGCTTAAAACGCGGGAGAGTTCGCAGATTCGCACATAGCTATCCGTAACATGGGCTGCTGGGGAAATCGCTTGGACAGTATCGAAATTGCTCTGATATTTTGATGTTATTGTATCGAAAATGAATCAGCATCATTTCGCCATAACATAAAGTGCAATAGTTTCAGAGAAATCCATTTATTTCATGATGAGGATATTAGTTTTTTATCGCATTTATTTTATACTTTTTATATTTATACTTGTTTTCTCCGTATAAACATGTTCAATAAACCTTTTGAATTTAAATGGTTGATGATTTTCTCCTTTTCATCTCAAGGTGGTAACTTCGGCGTAAATATATTTTGGAGGAATAGGGAAAAAATTTCTCCGATCCTTGGACCACTAGTCGTTCCCATTTCGGAAAGACCTGCATACGGTGATCTGTTACCCCTTTATCCAGATTTTCAGTTAAAATAGTGTTTTGGATAGATTCAGTTTACAAACAAGGAGATATTTCGAGCTTGACTGACGATGATCACGCTTAATGGCCCGTTTGGAAGTTAGTGACACGCCTTCAAAGCTAAGGTAGCAACTAGAATAATACATGCCCTCAGCATTGTCTAGCGTGTAATATATGTTTGAGCCTCTCTTCGACGAGAATACGAAACTGAGTAAATTGCTATTTCCGACCGATGATTGTTGTTTATTAACTTTTAGGAACTTGAAAAAGCGATGAAAGATCCACA